ACTAACACATTATACACTATGAACTCTTTTGGGTTACAAGTGTATACTATATCACAACCTATGTGCCTTTTTTTTTTTTTTTTTTTTTTTTTTTTGAAAATGTGAACTTCCACTGACATTGTACAACTGGGGGGGAGTGCCAATTTGTGGCATTTTTTCCCTAGATTTAATTATTTCACAAAAAAGATAAAAACAAATATATATTTAATCTTTCTTTAATTTTAAAATTTAAATCAGTGCACAATAAAATTATGCAGCTGTGTTATGTGTTTAACAAATTCTTAGAGTATCTCACATTAATACATATACATACGGACGCACATGTGCATACACAAGTCATTCCTTTCGAGTTGGTATATATATTAAGAAGCTTTGGGAATTTTCATAAAAATCATTTAGTATGGGTATTAAAAATTAAAAAGAAAAGTTTAAACAAAAATAAGGGTGCTCCTTGGGGAAAAAAAGGGGGTGCGCATAGTGGGTTTCACACAAGGGTAAGACGCATACATATTTATGCATGTGTATGCACAAATGCTCTTCCGCGCGAACAAGTACTGGATGTGCGGTTCGCTTAAATTGGCTCCTGCAGTTCGAGTGGCTTGCCCTTGTTGATCTGCCCCCATCCAATTAAACGCCAATGCTTGTCGACTCTCCTACTTAGGGCTATTTTGTCCCCAATTTTTGTGCACACCGGGCCGGTTAATTCTAACTTGGCTAGCTCAGATTTAATACCTGTAACTCTGCACCCAATGGAAGTGGATCCAATATTAATCATTAAGAATTCTCCATTTTTTAATTTTGCCACTTTTGTATTTTTTTCTCCATCCTGAGATTTCACCCCTAATAGTCTTCTGAGCAAATAGTAGGAAATTTCGATCTCTGCAAAACAGTCTGGTAATTTATTTAAATGGCCAATAACCTGACCAACCAATCGATCAGCTCTGGTTAAAATGGGATCAATTCTTGTTCCAACTCCAATTAGTCCACCTGGGACAGCATATTTTAAATTATTATTTTCAGCAAACATGGACAATATTTGCGATATGATAGGCCTGCATGTAATTTCTCCCTTTTCGTCTTTCGAAATAATACCGGGTCGTATTTCAATTTTATCCCCTACTTTTAACACACCATGTAGAATACTACCACCCGCAACCCCGCCTTGTAAAGTTTCAATATCTTCTCCTGGTTTGTTAACATCGAATGATCGAATAACAATCATGTGTGGGGATGATATGAAGTCCCTCTTTGGTATACTTATTTGTGTAACTATGTACTCACATACTACATCGATGTTGTATTTTAAAACAGCACTGATAGGGATGATGGGTGCACTATCAGCAGCCGTACCAGAAACGAAGTTTCTAATTTCTTCCTGTTGCTTTAAGGCTTGTTCTTCCTTAATTAATTCTACCTTATTTTGTAAAATTAAAATATGTTTTAATCTCATAATTTCGACGGCAGCTAAATGTTCAGACGTCTGTGGCTGTGGACACGACTCATTCCCTGCAACCAGTAAGAGAGCTGCATCCATAACAGCTGCACCGTTTAACATGGTTGCCATTAAAATATCATGTCCTGGACAATCAACAAAGGAGACATGCCTTAACAATTTCATTTTATGTTGACAATTTTCGCGAGGACATATTGGATCATCTTCTTTGCTACTTTCGTATGATTTGTAACATTCTGGGGGTAAACAATCCGGGTTGGTACATTTATATATTTTTGCATTCGCATACCCCAATTTTATGGTAATATTTCTTTCCTTTTCGTGCTTGAATCTAACTGTGTGCACCCCCGATATAGCATGAACAAGTGTTGACTTTCCATGGGCCACATGCCCTATCGTTCCAAGGTTGATCGTAGCTTGCCTGCTTATCACATCTTCGCTTAGGGGGGTTAACTTGGTTACGTCTAGCGTTTCTAAGTTTTGCTCAGCCAATTTATCCTTCTCATTAATATTCATTTTAGATTCGCAAACGAGGAGAACGAGAAATAAACGAGGAGAAACGATGTACAAAGGGGAAAAAAAAAAGGACACCGTGAGCGAGCAACAGTACAACACGTACGTTGCAATTGGGTGGTTTATCCAAAATCGGTCAACAGATGCACAAAAATAAAAACAGATAGAAACGTGCAGTGTTAAGGGGGCTGGTGGACGAGGCAAATATATGGTTACTGAAATCAGATTGATGTTAAACAAATTTGTACAAATGATAAGAAGCGATAGCTCATAGTTTTAAATGTTGAACAGATAATCTTTCGTATTTGTATATATATATATATCTACATATATATGCGTGGGTATATGACATAATAATAACAAAGCTTCGGCTGTGCCCCCCGGTGAGCTACTTAATTCTGGCATGCGTACCTCGCGCGGGTTTCTTCACTTTCGAATGGGCGTGGAAATAAAACGAGAGCTTCTTCCTTCTGAATATATTTATATGTTCGTACATACATGGGTACCTTTCGCGCGCGATAATTTCGACGCGTTTGCTTGTTAAGATTGTGCTGGCGCAACAAAGGGGGTATATATATATAACGCATGAACTCATGTAAGCCTGAAGTCACGTACACAAATGCATGCGCCCACAAGCGTGTATATGAAGCAGAGTTCTCCTCTATATCTGTAATTATGACGCGCGTCATATGAGTGATAATTCTCAGTATAAAGGACGTTTCTGCATACACGTATGCATGCATATATATACGCACGTGTATGTAGGCATTCAAAACATTCGTGCGGTTAACAAAATTATATATATATGTATATTCTTGGTAGTTTTATCACAATACAGTTATTTATATAATAACTAGGCAATGGTAAAAATATGAATTTTTTTTTTTTTTGTTTTTCTTCCTTTAATGCAGAGAATTAATGAAAATTACTAATTTACACTCATCTACTTTTTTCCCCTTAAAAAAAAAAAAAAAAAAAAAAAAAAAGAATTGTTGCTCTATTTGCTTGGATGTTTTTTTAAAACAAAAAAAATAAATTACTCTTTATATTCTGGTTCGAGTGGGTGTACGAGTGAGGCCCTGCGATCCCGCGCATATGCGGGTGATACTATATAATACATATGAAGTGCCAAGTACATACGTGCATATATATATGTACATAAGAAAAACGAGGCGCGTGCCATATAACACCGTGCCATAGTCAACCATGCCGTGCGTACGCAGCCCCGCTTAATATACACGAAGAGCCCTTGCCACCGTCTCCGGCTTTTTTTTTTCGCGCATCCTTCCACTACATTATATGTTATAATAATACCACTAATAATACCACGTGTAGTATGCTCCAGTTAAGATCCTGTACAAATTACGTCGTTTTCCGTAACCCTTTTAAATGTTCATCAGGTAAATTTTATTTTCATTTTCATTTTTTTTTTTTTCGTACACGCTAGTTTGACAATTTGCTTCAGTATACGAATTCTCAAATTGTCAAATTTCCAAATAGTGGATTTCTTCGATTTTTAATGGCGCAAGGGTTGCAGGAATTTTTCCTATGTATTGTATTCCACATTAGGCAGCATTGCGCATGCGCAGCATTATTGAGGCAACCGCAGAAGGGACATACGTGCATGTGTAGTATATGAATAAACCTGCTTATATACCTATGCATATGTATGCATGTATTATACACTGCTTCGACCGCGACCGGGGCAGAAGCTTGAGTCATTTTATTTTACACCATTTGTGAGCCTATTTTGTGGTACTATTTATTCACTAATTTTGGTGGTTACTATTTATTTGTTCATGCGTTGGTTTATTCCGGTTATATTATTTTTTTGTTCCCCTTCATTTTGATACACATAGCTGGTTTTCGTATGCGTGGTCCACACACAGTAACGTTTCCGTTTAGTTTTATAATGCCAACAATAGAAAGCGGAAAATTTAGTTTCATATGAGACCCAGAATGAAAGAGACTACTGAATATATATTTTTTTTTTTTTCGAAAATTTGACATAACAACTTTTGCCTTACCGTTCTAAATTAATGGGGATACAATTTCCGCTTTGCTTGTTTCATTGTTTCCCCCTTTTTAAAGTTCCCTGTTCTGCCATAAAACCAAGCTGATATCTGATTTGTAAAAAAAATATTGCTCATGAAGTTGGCCCATTATACATTACATAATGTACACACATAAATGCCCCCTGAGTACATTACAAGAATTCAGTTGTTACAACCTTTTGAACATCCAAAGGTATGTCCAGCTAAGGGGGACAGCTTGAAGGGGACACAAGGAGGCTTGCACATGCTTGGCAACATTGCAGCAAAAAAAATAAAATAAAAAACAAAAAAAAAAGGTGCCCCAATGATGATTCCCCCGAGGTGTGCACAAAGGTATATGAGATGTGTGTGCATACAGGCTGTTCTACCTCCCCCCCGACAAAACACATTACCGTTGCTGCAAAGTTGCCATAAGCATAGAAATAATTTTAGGCTACCCTTTTGCGCAACTGAAAAAAAAAGTGGTTCATATCAGCCATTTTGATATTCCGCAAAAGTGTGCCATCACTTTGAAATGCCTTGACGAAGTTACAACATAATGCGTTTTTTTTTTTTTTTTTTCCTTTTTCCTTCCACAGTCCCGATTTTACAAACAAATTTTTGTACCTCCACCGAAAGGAGAAAGTATCTCCATAAGGTGGAACGTCCTCCTGCGTAACTCTGAAATGATGAGTTCCTCGAATAAAAATAAAAAAACGCGTTCCCATTTTTCGACTGTTATAAATCCTTTCAAACGTACTTACTTACGTGTGGAAGGCACCATACTGCGTAACTGTGAACGCAGGAAATAGATGAAAGCAGAGGACCACAAGATAAGGGAGGAAAAAAAAGTCGGTTTTATCTCCACATGTGACTTATCACAAGGCACATTTGTTTCGGTTCCTAATGATTAAGAAATAAGTAACAAGGGGGACGATACTTTGCTTTTCCTGTTACTTCTCCATTTGATGATTCTCCTTTTATTTCCACGTTTTTACAAAATGAATAAAATCGCGAAAGTAAACAATTATATTTGCAACAATGTTCCTTTTCGAGATATGATTCTTTCAGCTATGAAGGTGAGGAGAAAGGCGCCTTCCCTAGGCGAAAAATGGGGACAAAACAGAATTTTTTTTATACCAAACTTACATTGTGAAAATGGGAAGCACAAAGTGGAAAATTACACCTTCTCAATATTTTTAAATGACAACATTTTAATTGGTAATAAGGCAGTGGTGAGTGAAGCAGCCTCACCTGTAGGCACCTCCAAACAAACGCTGCTTTTCTGGAATAGAAGTCCAGGCGCTAGATACCCGAAAAAGGTATGCCCCATGTTGTCCCCATTAGGCTTTCCCCAATTTGTCTTATGTTAAAGTTTAACATTTTTTGTACAAGTTTTCACGCCCGCACGTTTTTATTACCTTTTTTTTTTTTTTTTTCCCTGTACATACCGACTTCTTCCCGTTGCGCGTGTTTTTCAAATGTTCCCGTTGACCACCTCCCCCCTTTTACTTCTCTTAGGCCAACAACGGAGCCCGTCCAGACTGTCGTTCGGTGAGAAAAATTAGGAAGAGATTAAAAACGGGCAAGTAGACATGTGTATAAAAAAGCAACTCAGCCATTATGAGTGACGTAGCTAAGCGAAATATATTATATAGTGAGGTATTCACCCAGTTGTAGCACCGAATCCTTTTGTCATCTGGAGGAGTCGTCCCAATTGTGATATGATTTCCTGCTGTTTTTAATATGTATTATGTACGTATGCTTGCACACCTGTCCTGGCAGGACACTACGAAGCAAGTTCAATGAACTCATCCCAGCTGCCAAAAAAAAAAAAAAACAAAAAAGGGGCACGTCAAATTAGAATATAATTTTTTTTTTTTTTTTTTTTGCATATACATCCATTTGTTCTGCTTCCGTACCACGCAATAGTTTTTCGTCGAATCTTAGTT